TTAGACTGTTTTGCTTTTATTTTTATTCTTTCTTAAAATATTCATGTTATTTTAGTATAATAATTTTTTTAATATAAATATTTTAGATTTTAATATTTTTATATTTTAATGAATTATATATTAATTATATTATATAATTAAAAATAATATTATGATTTATTTTACTCCTTATCATATATATTATAACTTTCTTAATGTTTTATTAATGTATTTGATTTTTGAATAAATCTTTAATTTATTAAATTAAAATTATTTTTGATTAATATAATCAAGTATAATTTTATGGTTACATACAAAATATAGAAATTATAATTAGTATTTTAAGTATAATATTTACTATTCATCATATTTATTATTTATACTTTTTTAATTAATTAATTTGAAAAGATATTAATAAAAATTGTTATTAAAAATTAAAAAAAATATTTTTTGTTTATATTTTTATTTAAGTAAATATTATATATATTATCCAAATTTTATTTATATTTTTTATAAATAAAATTAATCTATATTATAAAAGTAAAATAAAAAGTATAAAATTAATTAATATATTTTAAATTATATAATAATTTTAATTTTTTCAAGTAAAAATTCGATTAAAAATGATATTTAAAAAAAATTAATAATAATTTTTTTATTTAAAATATACTATAAGTTTTAAACAAAAAATTTAAAAATATTCTCATATTATTCTAGTTTTCGCATTAAGCTTTATAACAATATACAAATCGAAAAAATTAGACATAAATATAATAAATTAATAATAATTTATAAATAAAAAAACAAAAATATAATCAGAATTTAAATTTTTTATTCATAAAAATTATACTTAAATATAATAATTTTGAATTTATTTATATCATTTTAATTAAATTATAAATCAAACATTGTTATAAATATAATATATTATAATAGCTATAAAAATTATAAATAAAAATAAATTTTTTTATTTTAAAATATATTTTATATATTATAAAAATATTTTAAATGAAATATTAAAAAATTTATATTAAAGTTATATAATATTATTTAAAAAATTTAAATATATTTTATATTTTATATAAATTATAAATAAAAGATTTTATTTATATTATTTTATAAAAATTAATTATTTTTATTAATATAAAATATCATTATTAATACTATTATTTATTTATTATAATTTTTTTGTCAATCTTCAAAAAATTCAAAAATATTAAATGATTTTACCTTTTAAAATAAAAAAAAAATAAAAAAATAAAATATAAAATTTACTTTAGGCTTATCATATTTCGAGTGATAACATTTGTTTTTTACTTAACTTTATAATGCTTATTATTATTTTAAATATTTTTTTTATTGAGAGATTTATTATTTATTTTGATAAGTTAAATTATTTTGTATTTCTTAAATAATTATATCTTATTTTTCTTTTATATTATTATTATGAATATTATTCTTATGATTTTAATATTATTAAAGATTTAAATCATCTTAATTATATTTTAGTTTTCTTAATAAGAAATTTATTTTTTAGGAATATATTAATATTTTTGATATTTATTAAAATTTTATTATGAATAATTTTTATTATTAGTAAATTATTAGACTGGCTAATCATTATAAAGATGATTAAAAATATTATTTTTTTTATTATCATTTTTATTATTATTATCATTTTTTATTATTATTATTATCATTATTATTATTATTATTATTATTATTATTATTATATAATTTTTTTTATTTTCATAAAAAAATTGTTAATTTTATTAAATATTAAATTTCACACTTTTTTTTTTATTATTCAAATCCACATATTTTTATTCATTTATTGATTTATTATTTTATTATTATAATTTTTATTAAATTTTTATTTCCTTTTAATTTATATCTTCTTATTAATTTTAAATTATTTCATTTGATATTGCTTTTTGTTTCATATTTTATTAATTCTAAAGTTATATATTATCCTTTATATTTTCTTTATTTATTTATATTTATTATAATTTTTTTTCATCTTTTATTGTTTCTTTTTTATTTATTTAAATCTAATTTTCAGTATCTTTTTTAATTTTGTAAAAATTATTTAAAAAAAAAATACTTATTTCTTATTTGTTTATTTTTTAAATTTGTTAAATTTATTGATTTTAATTTTCTTTATTTATGTTGTCTTCATTATATGCTACTTCTTATTTTTCTAAATATATATATTTTGGTTTTTCTTTTTTTTGATAAGTATATTTCTTATATTATTTTTGATGTTTATTATTTAAATTAAATTAATTCTTTTGCTATCTATTATTTTACGCATTTTAAGTTTATTCATTATATTTATTATTAGTTTTTATATATTCTTGTTTTTAATCTTTATTTTATTCGATTTATTGCGGAAAAGCTTAAACTTTTTATTCTATTATTTAAGGTATATCTTTCTCTTCATTTATTAATTATTTTTCTTCTTTAATAAATTTTATAATAACAATAAATATATTTATTTATTTATTTTTTATTAAATTATACATTATTAAATCTATTATACTTCTTTTTTTTCTTCCTTTTTTAATGGTGATTAATTTAATTCATAATCAGAATCTAAATCAACCCAATCTTTTTTTTTATAAAAAAAATAATTTATTTAACATATAAAATGCATATATAAGATATTTTTTAATTTTAAATTATTTTTACTTATTTTCTTTGCTTTACTCATTTTTATGTTTTTTTTTTATTGTTTATATTTTTTTAAAATTTTATATTAACTTTTTTGGTGTTTTAAATTTTTTTTTTTTAAATATTTGTTTAGAAAAGTTAATTATAATAAATTTAAAAAGGGAATAATTTTGTATAAATTTAGAATAATTCTTCTACTTTTTTATTCTTATAAATTAAAATATTAAATTATTTATTTTTAAAATTATCAAATATTTTATAGTATTTTTGAAGAATAAATTTTAAAATAAATAAAATTTACACTTTTTTAAATTTTAGACAATATTTATATAATTTTAATAATAAATAAAAAAGCAATAATTAAATAAATTATTAACTAATCTTATTTTTTAATATACTTTAGAATTTATAATATTTAAAATATAATCTAACTGAAAATAATAATAAGTATTTAATTATTAAAAACATATATAAACATGAAAATGATTAAATATATTGAAAGCCATAATTAATTAATTAATATTTTATTATAAATTGTTTATATAATTATATAGATTTTAATTCGATAATTATTTCCTATATTTATTTATTCTTATAACATTTTTAACTAAGCTCATACATATTCAATAGGATTAATATTTTGTGAATAAGGTGGGAGATATTAAACATTTAGATTTTCACTTTAAATATAATTAATATCTATTTAGCCTTATTTTTTGAATTATTAATTTAAAAAATATGAAATTATGTCATCTAAAGCTACTTTCTTCACTTTGCTTTAAAGAATATTCAAATAGATTTTAAAATTCATATTTTTTCCTATAAAATATAATGATATATTTCTCTTCTTGCAAATGCCACCACAAAGGCTTATTTTTAGAACGAATATTTAATCTGCCAAAAGTTATATCACTATTGTATTCCAAAATTTGCAGACTATCAACTTTATCCTGGCCTGGATTTATTAATCTAGAAATATGTTTCATTAAAATTTTTTTTTTTTCAAATACTTGATTTCTTTTTAACTAAATTTTACAATATATAAATTTGACTTTTATACCCAAATTCTTAATATTCATTATTTTCTAACTTATAATTTTGACATATTATATGGATAGACGTTAAATTAGGGCTAACATTTTTTTATATATTATTAGTTTAGGAGATTAATTTATTCTTAATAGGAATTGTTCTTTTTTCCATTCTTTTTTTTTCTTTCTAGATTAAAGCTATTCTTAGGAAGAGAAAAATATCTTTAACAATTTCTTAAAGGTATTCTAGCCGTTTTTTTATTACTTTTGGCATTTTTATACCATTTATTAAAAAACAATAAAACACGAATTTTATAAGAAATTTTTTTTAGCAATTATTTAATTTATATCTTTTGAAATAACTATATAATAAAAATAAAGTATTATTTTATATTATATTACTTTTTAATATTTTTTTTATTTTCTCTAATTAAAAATAAAAACATGCAAAAGAAAATAGATTATAGCCATTTTTTTCTTGATTGAGTTTTTTTTTTTTTTTTTAAATACAGAGATAATTCCTAATTTTTGTAAAATTCAATTATATGGGATATATATATTAATTAAAAATATATTTATTAATGCAAAATATATATAATTTTATTTAGGAGCTTGTATTTTGAATTTCTTTAATATATATTAAAGATTTAAAATCTTATTAGATTAAAGTATTTTAAATATATAAAAAGAATAAAATTTTACATAAATAAAACTATAAAAAAAATATTAAAAATCAATTTTTTTTTTTTTTAAAAAAAAATTAAAAATATTTATAAGTAAATAATAATCATTATCTATATTTGTTAAAGACATAGCTAACTTTTTTGACTTTACTAATGTTTTTATATATTTAAAATTGATTATTTATTATAAATTTAAATTTTAATTATTATATATTATTTTAAAATGTAATAAAATAATTAAAAAATAACAAAGACAAGAAATATATGCTACTAAATGCAAACTAAATCTATTTAATTACTTTGATTAAAAATTTTATAAATTATAAAAATAATAAAATCTTTTTTTTAATTTTTTTTAAAAAAAAAGTTTAAAATTTTGAAATCTATAAACTATTTATATTAATTTTTTATATTTTTAATATCATTTTACCACATTTTTTTATTTATCGAATTCAAATATAATACAATTTTAAATGAAAAAAAAAAATGAAAAAACTAAAAATTTAAAAACAAATAGAATTTAAAAAATTATAAACAAAAATATATATATATATATATATATATATATATATATAAATATTTAATTATATATTTAAAAAAAATATATATAAAATAAAAATAAATAAATAAAAAAATGAGTGAAGAAATAGAACCTCATATCTTACGTAAGTTCGAAATAATATAAAAATTAGGTAAAGGAGCTTACGGTATAGTATGGAAAGCTATAGATCGTAAACTAAAATAAGTTGTTGCCTTAAAAAAGGTATTTGACGCATTTCATAATCCAACAGATGCCTAGCGCACATTTCGTGAAGTAAAAAAAAAAAAATCAATAATAAATAATAAAAATACAGGTTATGTTTTTATAAGAATTAAACGGTCACGATAATATAATAAAATTATTAAATATAATAAAAGCGGAAAATAACAAAGATTTATATTTAGTATTCGATTATATGGAAACAGATCTTCATGCCGTAATTCGTGCCGACATATTAGAACCTGTTCATAAGAAGTATATAATGTACCAAATATTAAAAGCATTAAAATACATACATTCAGGAGAACTAATACATAGAGATTTAAAGCCTTCAAATATATTATTAAATAGCGAATGTCATGTAAAAGTGGCTGATTTTGGACTTGCGCGTTCTGTGGCAACAAAAGAAGAAGATGCACCGCCCGTTTTAACTGAATATGTGGCTACAAGATGGTATAGGGCGCCTGAAATATTATTAGGGAGTACCAAATATACAAAATCAGTTGATATGTGGTCTGTTGGATGTATTTTAGGGGAACTGATTATAGGAAAAAGTATATTTCCAGGTGTATCTACATTAAATTAAATTGAAAGAGTTTTAGAATTAACAGGAAAGCCATCATAATAAGATATAGAAAGTATAGAAAGTCCACTAGCATAAAATATCATAAATTCCATAAATATATAAAAAAAAAAAAATTTTAATATTTTTTTTTCTGGAGCATGTGAAGATTCGCTTGATTTACTAAAAAAATTACTCACTTTTAATCCTAAATTAAGATTTACAGCAGAATAGGCACTTGAACATAAATATGTAAACGAATTTCATAATATTTAAGAAGAACATGTATGTAATAAACCAATTGAAATTCCTTTGAATGATCATGAAAAATTTTCAATAAAAAAATATAGAGAAGCACTTTATGCAGATATTAGTGAAAGAAAAAAATAATAAAGAAAAAAATGGTAAGCTAAATATTTAGAATAATTAGGACTTTCAGTTCCTGAATAATAATAAGATAAAATAAATTAAGAAAATAATAATTAAATTATCAAAGTTAAAAAATAAGAAGAAAATATCTAGTAATAATAAACTTAATAAATTACATAATAATAAAAAACGATATAAACATAATAATAATAATAATAATAATAATAATAAAAATAATAATAATAATAATAATAATAATTATAATAGTAATCATAATAATTATAATAGTAATCATAATAATTAACTCAATAATTCACTTATTATTAATACGCATAAAAAGCTTCATTATAATAATAAAAAGCGTAATAAGATATAAATATTAATGATTTATCGAAAAATTAATCTAATAAAGATTAAAATTAATTTGGGCCTTAAAAATAGTAATATAATAATTACGTTCCACCTAAAAATAACTTTTCAAATAATAATAATAATAATTAGTAAGCTGTGCCCAATTTTATTGAATAATATAATAATGTTAATTAATAACTTAAAAATAAAACTTTAACAAATTTCAGTAATAAAAATAATAGCAATTTTTAATATAATAATAATAATGCTCAAGCAAAAAATTCTATTATAGTAAATAATAACAGCCATAACGGGTAATTCTAAAATAATAATATTTAATAAAGTAAAATTACTTAATAATATAGTTAATAATATTCTTAATAATAATAGATATAAATTTAATAATATTAATAATAATATAAAAAAAAAAATTGAAAATTTATAAAAATATCATAAATTATATATAGGTTAAGTTTTAACATTTAAACTTAAAATTTGTAAACTTATTTGTTTTTTTATTAAAATTTTAAATCAATTTTTATTTAAAATTAAAAAATCAATATGGACTAAAATATAGTTATTAATATTCTTTTATAAATATTAAAAAGTTTTGTACATTTTTTTACTTTTTTTATCCATATTAACTAAACCTTTAAACTAAATAAATTTAAAAATGCTTAAAATAATTTTATTTTATTAATTATTTAAGGCTTTATATTTTATTTTTTACTATTTCTATTTAATTTATAATTTTTAAAGGGATATATAAATAATTTAATAAATATGAATTATTATATTTTATCATCCTGTATTACTAAAAATTAGAAATATATATCTTTGTTAAATATATATAAATATATAACATAGTAAATTTAGTCTTTTTAAATATAGAAATAAAAAAATGAAATTATTTTAGCAAATTTAATATGCATTTTGTCAGTTAAGAATACCTAATGGAATAAATTATTATCCAGTGATTAATATACATAATTAAAATCTAGTTTAATATACTCAATAATTAGTAATTTTTATAAATAAAAAACCCAACTAAAAAAACTATAATAAATAATAAATGATTTTTAATATAAATAACTTCATAAAATTTAAAATAATTAATTTATAAAAAAGGCTTAATTATCAAGAAAAAATATAAAAATACAGACAGAATGTAAATTTGAAGTAGTTCCTCCTTCAATGAAAGATTTTTTTACAAATCAAATCAAATAAGATATGTTTTAATTCCATATTCCTAAAGAAGTAATCAAATAAACTTGCAAAAATATAAATAAAAAAAAAATAGATAATATTTATAGGAAGATCAAATGTAGGAAAATCGTCTCTAGTAAATTAAGTTTTTGATTAAAAATTATCTACAGTATCAAAAAAATAAGGCAGCACAAAAAAGTTATATTTTCACGAATTAATAAAGAATTAAGGATATATAATAGATGCCCCAGGATATGGTAAAAAGAGATAAAAACAATATAATAATAATATAAAATTAAAAAATAGGTTATGCAACCGTAAATGTACATTCTAAGAGAAAATGGCAAGGAATGATATATGACTATATATAACTATCAACAAGGTTAGTTCGTATATATATGTTAATAAATTCTTAACATGGTTTAAAATAAAACGATTTATCATTAATTTCATAAATATAAAAGCAGAATGTAAATATATAAATTGTTCTTACAAAAATTGATAAAATTCCAGAAAGAAATTTATATGATTTAATGCTCTCTATTGGTTTATAAGTAAAAGGTTTTAGTAATGTCCATCCTCTATTGCATGCATGTTCATCAAAGTTAATACATATATAAATGTAATTTTTTTTTAAAAAAAAAAATATAAAGAAATCATTTTGGAATCGAAGAACTAAGACATTCTATAATGGATAGTTTAATTAATTTTTAATAACGAAAAGTAGATGGAAAAGAAGAAGTTTTATTAAAGTTTCTAGAAAGCTATAAGTGTAGAGAAAAAGAATTCAACGAGTTCTATGGAAAAGATGCTTTAAAACCTTTAAGAGAAAACAAAACTTATTAATAAATTTCTAATTAAAAATAAACATTAGAATAAAAATAAAATAAAAAAAAACTAATTAATTGAAAAAAATAAAATAAAATAATAATAATTTATTACCTTATTTATATAATATTTAAAAAAAAAATTTAAAAAATTAAAAATATTATGGAATTAAATATTATATGTAGAATTTCTTCATAATAAATTGATGTTTAAGAAGAAAAAGGCCAAAAATGTTGCATTTATACACCTTCTATACCAAATTCATAACTTGTAGCCGCAACAGCAAATCCTATAAGCTTGAAAATACTAAATTAATACATAAAATCAGACAAAACGCTAATATAATATCGAAATTCGATACTAGAGAATGCAAATATATATAAATTTTCCGAAACATATTCTCATAAAACTTCTAATAATGAAATATATGAAAAGCTTTGTTAAAAAAGCATAGATGATATATTTTCTATAAATGAGAACATTTAAAAAAATCTAATTTATTATTTACTCGGACCTGCAAAAGCAGGTAAGAAATACACATTAAGAGGTGAAAGCGAAAAAGGAATATTATTTAGATCAGTAGAAGAAATGGAGAAGAAAATAAATGAAAAAATAAAAGTTTTTTATTAAATATTTGCAATTTTTAATAATAAAATAATCGATTTATTAAAAGAAAGTTAAGAAATAGATGAAATTTTCGAATAAGAATTAGTTTTTTCGGCATAATATAGAACCTTTTATATATAAAGTAGAGAAAAATTAAAAAACTATCAAGGAAAAAATATATCTAGAAAATCTTTTATTTTTTACAGATTTTTTATATGTAGAAATATTAAAACAAAAAAATCTCAAAGAAATACATAATTTGAGAAATTAAGTACTTTAACATTTATACATTTACCAGATTTTTCAAGGAATAAAATTGAAGAGTTTTAACCGTTAGATGATTATTTAACTGATTTTTCAACTTAGTAATTGAATTAAGAATCATAAAATTAAACTTAATTATTATATATATAAAAAATACATGAAACTTTTTCTGAAATTAATAAATATTATCTTATTTGTAATGTTTCTGGAAGCTTAAATGCTTTAAATGATTCTGTTTTGGCTCTATAATTTGCTTCGGGTATAAAAGAAAAAATGGATAATTTTTATGAGGATGAACATATAAATTAAGAAAATAAACATTTTCTAAATTCTGAAAATAAAAATTCTTTTTCTTAAACAAAAATCATTTAATAAAAAAATACTTCTTTTAATAATACTAAAAATACTTTACCATTATAATAATAAAATATTGATTTTTAATTTTACGAATTAAATAAAGAACTTGATGTTATTTCAGAAGAAATAAATGATTTCTTTTCAAATAAATAGCTCTTCTTTTAAAAAGATTAGCTATAAGATTTCCTTAAAGTCAAATAAAAGTAACTTTTTTTTCTTTAATAGTAATTCCAATAATTAAACAATGACAATATAGACTCTTCTTTAGAAAAACTGCATTAAATATTGAAATAAATAGAGCAAATATCATCTAATTTAGAACAAGAAAATTTTATAAAAGAATAAAGCAATAACAAAAAATAAGAATTATTGCAAAAAATAAATGAAATTATAGACATAAAAGACGATGAAAATAATTAGACTTTTTCTAATAAAAAAGTTATTTATAACATACAAAAAAAGCAGGAAGTGTAAAAAGTTGAAAATGAAGTAAAAAATTTAGATTTGATAAAAAATTAAATTTAATAAAAAGACGAAATAATATTTTTTTTAGAAAAATAAATCAATGAATAAAAAGCATAAATTTAAAGAGATAATGAGATTATTTAAATTAAAATTTAAAACGAAAATGATATAGAATAAGAAAAAGAATAAAATCAAATCCAAATTAAATGTTTATAGGATAAAGTGGAAAAATATAAAGAAAAAAATTACGAAAAAAAATAAACAATAGAAAACTTGTAAAAAAATAATATTATGTTGAGTTAAGAAAAGGCGCTTTTAGAAAACTAAATAAAAGATATTTAACTAAATTACGATAATTAAATATCAGAAAATAATTTGATTTAAAAAAATATTTAAAAAATTTAAATTACAAATGAAAGTTTTGAATTTGAAATAAAGAAAAAAGAAAATATAATAAAAAATTTAAATTAATAAATAAATGTTTAAAACGAAAAATTAATCATTAAAGATGAAAATATAGATAAAATTTTAAATTAAAATAAAGAATTAAATAATAATATTTTAAATTTTCAAAATCAATTAAAAATTACAGAAGAAAACTTCAATTTAGCTGCATAAAAATATAAAAAATTAAAAGAAAAATATAATTTATAAAAAGAAAACTTCTTAGAAAAAAAAAATAAAGATTTAAATAAAAAAAAAGAATCTTCACTAAAGCTTAAATAAGAGATTAAATTTATTGAAGATAAATTATAAGAATATATTTTATTGGAAAAAAATCTTAAAAATGAAAATTAAAATCTTTTGTAGTAAATTGAATAAATTTAATAAGACATTTAAAAAAAAAATATTGATATTAAAAAATATAAATAAGAAAAGTAATATATTATATTTTATTTATATATATATATATATATATATATATTTATATATATTTATATATATTTTTAAAATAGCATTAATTTATAAAATGAAATTAAAAAAGTATTATCTAATTACAAAAATAATTAAGATAACTATAAAGCAGAATAAAAAAATGTAATTTAAAATCTAAAATATTTTTATATAAATATTTATAATTTTTTATAAATAATAAGAATTAATAATTATAATATTAATCTTAAAGTTTGTAAGAATAAAATAAATAAGTGTTATAAAATATATAAGCTTTAAATTTTGAAATAAAATAAAAAGAAGAATAAATAAAATTATTTTCAAACTAAAACAGTCAATTATAAATAGATATTTAAAACCAAAAATAGATTATATAAAAATTAGAAAATCAAAATTAAATTCTTTAGGAAATCAAAAACGAAGTAAAAACAATTAAATATATAAATATTTTTAATTATTTAATAAGTATTTATTTTTTTAAAAATAGGAAGTTATTTAATTTGAAAAATAACTTAAAAGTTGTATATAAGAAATAAATTAATTAAAACAATATTTATAAGATAAAATTGTTTTACATTTATAATAAAATTAACAAATTTAAGAATTAGAAGTAGTAATTGATAATTTAAAATAAAAAAATAAAAATAAAAAAACAATTATTGAAAATCTAAATAAACAATTAAGTTAAATGGATAATGTTGTTAAAGAAATTATTTAAGAAAAAAATCATTAAATTTCATTAATTAAAAATGATACATAATAGGTTTTTTTTTTTTTCGAATAAATGCATATTTAATTATTTTATAAAAAAGTATGAAACTAACAAATAAAATACTCAAAAATCTATTTTAAAAAAATCTAAATGTTATAATTAAAATTTAGTACAGACAAACTCATAATCCAGTAGCTCAGATAATTGATTTTTTTTTATGATAAAAGCATATTGCTTTTCTTAAATTTTCTTATAATAAAATAAATTATATTATAAGTTTTCTTTTTTTTTAAAAAAAAAATATTTAAAATAATTACTTTTTTAATTAATAATTATAATATTTTTAAAAAGTTTATTTTTTTATATATTAAGCTATAAAAATCTTTTATTTTTGAAAAAAATAAAAATATTAATAAAATATATAGATTAAAAGTTAATTATTAGTTTTAAAAATGGAAGAATATAAAAAAAAATGTAAGAAAGATTTACATAATCAACTTAAAATAAGTTAAATTAAATAAACAAATTATATTATTTAATAAAATTGATAAAAGAAAATAAGGATTAATATCAAATTTTTTTAGTCAAAAATCTTAATAAGTTAATCCTAATTAATATTAAAGTTAAGATTTAGAACAAAATTAATATTAATAATATTTGACTTAAAATTAAACTTAAAAAATGTATGAAATGAGCAATATAGATTCAAAAACATAATGTAATTTTAATATTTTATTTTAAAAACTTAATATTAAATAAAAATTTAAAATATTTAGATGTAAATTATTAACAAAATAATTAATAATAAACCTTAATAATTTAAAAAAAACAATTATAGAATAATTAAAGGATAAATGGGAATAAAATAAGTAATTCAAAGTTATTACAATTATAAATTTAGCAGTACTAATAATAATAATTTTAATAATAACTTCTTCATTATGAAAAATCTTTAAAAATTATAAAAATAATATAAATAAATAGTTATAAATATTTTTATTTCAAAAAAAAAAAATATATATACATACAATATAAATTTTAAATTAAAAAAAATTAATAAAAAAATGGCATACAGATGTAAAAATAAAATAATCTTTTTATATTTTTCAATACTTATAAATAATAATAAACATAATTTTTATAAATAAATTCAATAGCTTCTCCAAACAGTGATACAATAGCAAAAATAGCTGAAAAATTAAGCACTCTTTAAAATAGTATAATGGATAATAATAAGACAAACAAAATATAATAAGGAGAATAAAGAGCAGCAGATTTAGAGGAATCTTTTATAGAATATGAATAAAAATTAGAAAAGAAAATACATATAATATAGGATACAATTTAAAAACTAGGAAAATTTATTTAAGAAGATAAAATGCACAGAGATTCATAATTCGAAAAAAAATAAAAAGAAATAAATTTTTTAGACTAAAAATTATCTTCAGTTTTAGAAAATGAAATACAAGCAATTTTTATAAATTAAAATTTAATATATAATTATATATATCTTTCTTTTTTAGTAAAGAAAAGAAGGAGAAAATCGCATATTTAGAATAATTGATGATAAAGTAAATTTGTTGAAAGACGAAGTTTAATAAGAAAGTTAAACAAGAGGTAATATTATAGAAGAATTGAATTAAAAATTAGAAAACGAGCTTCCGAAATTAAGTAATGATATTAATAATGAAAAATCTGAAAGAGAAGAAATGGATGAAAATATAATGAAAAAAACCACTGAAGAATTATTAAAACTTAATTCTATTATCTAATAAGAAAAAAAAGAAAGAGAAGATAGTGAATAGTCTATTTTTGATATGTTAAAAGAAGTTGTTAATCGTATAAAAAATGAAATTGAAACTGAAAAAAAATAAAGGTTTTTTTATTTAAACATTATATTTAAAAATATTTATTATTATATCAGGGAAAATACAGAAGAAAATTTGATTTACCTATTAGAAGATACATGTAGTAAATTAAATGCAGCTTCTTTAGCATGAATAATATATATATATATATATTAATATAATTATTTATATATTATTTTTTTTTAAATTATATGAAAATTAATTAATTTTAATTTTATTTTAACAGTTTTATTTTATCATTATATTAAAATCAAAAAAAAAATATTTTTTAATTTAAAAAAATGATTTTATTTTATTTATATTCAAATTATTTTATTTTTAATTAATTTTTATTCATAAATAAGCAAAGGTTATCAACAGAAAAAAATAAAATACAATTTATTGGCTAATAACTAATCCCCCATAAAATTAATATTATTAAATTTTCAAAATATTTATCTTGATGGATGATATATCAAAAATAATTAAAATCAAATTAAATTGAATATAATGACATTTATTATATTATAATATATAAAAATTAAAAAATAAATTTATTCTAAGATATTAAAAATTATAAATACAAAAAATATTTGTATCAATTTGAATAAAAATCAAAAAACTTATCAAAAAGTATTAAAATTTATTATATTTTTAATGAATGAAAGTAAAACTAAATTTTAACTTAGCGTACATATGATAAGTTTTTTAAAAATAATCAAATATAATAAATATTTAACGATTTTTTTTTTAAAACAAAAAATTAATTATATAAAAACATAAATTTGTACAATTAAAAAATAAAATTAGTTATTTGAATAATCAAAAACTTTCTAAAACTTAACTTAAATAAAAAGTTCTTTGAATATAAAACACTTTTTGAGAAAATTTACAAGAATTATCCTTAATAAAAAAAATGAGGCTTATAAATATTTAACTATACACATTAGAAAAATTATAAATTATTAATATTCCTATATTAGTTAATATATGAAAAAATATTTAATTTAAGTCTTAAAATATAGTATATAAAAAATAAAATGAAGAAGCTAAAACTGACTATAAATGGTGAATTTTTTTATTTTATTTTTTATAATTTATTTTCTTTAACAAAAAAATTAAAGTTAAATTGTAAATAATATTTTTACTTCAAAGTATTTTGAAAGGGAAAAATCTTAGTATTTTTTTTAAATTTATAGAAAATAAAAAAATAAAGAAATTATTTTAATTCTATTAATTTATATTAGATATTATGTTTTTGATTTATATTCAGTAAAAAATATATATAAGAATTATATATTTATTTTATACAATACTAAATTCAAAATTCGATTAATATTACTTCGTATAACAAAAAGAATCTTTTTAGATATTTTATAAATTTTACTTGATTATGAATCTAATTTATAAACTTAAGATATACGAAGAACTCCTTTATTTTATACAGTTTTAGTTGTACATAAAATTATTGTAAAATAATGTATTTAAATTACTTAGTTATAGATTTTTTTATTTTCGTGTTATTTTTTTAAAAAGCCCAATCAACTAAAAAAATGTGAGAAAAAATGGATAATAATAAGTAAATTATAAGCTACATTTTTCTTAAAAATTAAAATTATTTAATTATGTTTTACCATCTCACTACAGAAAAAAATCAATTATTTTAATTTAACAAAGCAAAATAAATATTTTATTTTTTGATTTTGATGATAAATATATATTAAACTAAAGTTAAATGCATTAATGGGATTAATTCATATTTAAAAAAGAATTGAATTTTGTATAAAAAATTGTTGCTAATTTTTTTTAACAATTTAAGTATTCGATACTAGATTTGATCATTTATAAAATATAAAATTTTAATATTAATAATATATTACAAAAAAAAGAAAATATTATTAAAATTAAATAGAGAATATAATTAATATTTTTTTTAGCTTGAATTTTATTAATTATAATCAAATAAATATATATAGAAACATATATATTAAATCAAAAGTCTATTTCTTTATTTTTATAAATAAGCTTTCCATTTAAAACACTTCTATTAAAAGGAAACTCACAAGCTATATCACATATATAAGGGCAAGCTTCATCTAAAGTAATTTCTGCTTATTAACCTCCCATCTATTTTTTATTTTATTAAATAATAAAAAAATATATTATAATATTAATTTTACATCAGTTTTAACCCATCCAGGATGTATAATATATAAAGATTATTGATTTTTTAATTATTTAGTTAAAATAAACCTTCCGTAAGCATTTAAGAAAGCTTTAGATGTATGATATGATTATTAATAGAATATCAGTTTTTAAGGAAAATCTGAATTTTTTATATAATCTTCAGCTAATTAAAATAAATAATCTTTTGTAATATTTTAATTTTCTAATATTTTTCTTCCTTCCAATGTTTAATGTTCTAATTAACCTAAAATGCTGCTTATTAATAATATTTTACCATCATTACTTAACATATTATGAAATATATTTTCTGTTAATTCGACCGTTTTTAAAAAATTTGTTTAAAAAGTAAAATTTGCAATATTTGAGTTTGTAGGCCTTCTATCAACTACGCCTGCATTATTTATTAAAACATCAATATATTTATATTTTTCTTGTATCTTGTTCATAAAGCTTTTAACACTTTCATCAATTGATATATCCAGTTCAAAAATATCAAACTCTTAAGAAAATTAACTGAAATGATTTTACATTTACTAAATTTACTCTTTGTTTCGAATTGTCAATATTACTTTATAACTTTAAGAATATTTTTATAATATTAATTCTGCTGTCTTTTTTCCTATTCCTCTATTGGATCCTGTTAATAAAATGATTCTTTTATTTATCATATTTTTATAAAAAGGTAACAATATAAATATATTAATACTTTAAAATAGATATATATCTTTTATATAATTTGTCTTTAATATTGAATTAATTTCAAATAAAAAAATTTATGCGCAAAAAGATAATTAAAACATTTCTTATATTTTTTAGTAAAAATGAAATAAACCAAACCCAATATCTAATAAAAAAAATAGAATATAAAATTTACGTTTAAGTTTTATTAAAGCAATTACCTAGTTAATGCATAAAAAAATGTTTTTTATAATCATATGTTTTTTTTATAGTTATATTTAATTTTAAACAAAAAATTATTATGATTTAAATATATTTTTATTATAAAAATCGTAATTGTATACATAAAAATTTAAGAAAATAATCAAAAAATTTTATTAATCATTTGACAATAAAAATACCTTAATGCATTCGCATCTTAAATTTTTTTACTAAATGAAAACTATAAAATAAAATAAAATAATATTTAATTTATATTATTTTTCTAGAAAGCGAATATTTATAAATATTTTAAATAAATTATTAATTAATATATTAATAATATAGAAAAAAAAATATAAATAATAAAAATAATATTATATATTTATTTGTTTTATATTATTTATTTAGTGTTAAATATAATTTATAAATAAAATATAATTTATATTTATCAAAATCTATTATATAATATTAGTAAATAAATTAATATAATTATTAAAAAATATTTATTTATATGAAAATTTTATATCAATGCGTAAATTATATAAATAATAATATTAAATAAAAAAAAATACAAATATAAAATTTATATCTTATCAATAATTTACAATTTTAATAAAATAAATCCTTGAAAAAACTATAATATTTCAATATATATTTCTTATAATATTTATTTAAATATTTTTTACTATTTTAATAATAATATATATTTATTTGATTTTTTCTAAAGCATAAATATCTTTTATTAAAGATTCAATATTTTAAACAAAAAATTGGTTTAAAATATATATTTCATTATAATTATAAAATGAAAATTATAAAATATACAAAAAGATATAAATATAAATAACAATATATATTAAATAATAAAATATAAATAAATTGTTTATCTAATATTATATTGAAATTATTTTATAAAACAGATATTAATAACTATAAATTAAAAAAAATAATATTTATTTATTTATTTATTTTTGTGCAACATATCAATTTTATTTTTCCCAAATTTTATTTTTTTTGAAATTTTTATAATATACACAATTATTTTAATTACAATTTTATTCTTTAGAATTATTACAAAAATTGATATTTAATAAAAAAAAAAATTGAAATAAATAAAATGAAAAACTCATAATTTTAAGAAAATGTAAATTAATATTAAAAATATTATTTTAATAAAATTATTTATTTATATTTAATAATTATATAAAAGTAAATTTAAATATTAGTAGAATAATCAAACATTATATAAATATAATAAACAGAATAATAAAATTAGCAAGAAAGATTTTAAAAAGTAAATAAAAAATAAATTATATATGCATTATTTTAGTCTTTATTTAAATTAATATAATATTTTTCATATATATATTTAAGTTTTAAGTCTAGTTAGGATTTTGTACTTATTATGAAATATATAAAGGATATGATAGAGAAACAGGATGTGAAATAAATTGGAATATAATAAAATTGTAAGATTATAATAAAGGTAAAATTATAAAAATATGAAAAGAAGAGTATAATTTTAATTAAGTTTTTATTTAGATTTAAAAAAAAAAATTCTTCATCAAATATAATTATTACAATAATTAAGTCATCCTAATATCATTAAATTCATAAATTCATGGATAAATGAATAAGAAAATTAAATAATTTTTATTACAGAATGTGTGAATGGAGGAAATCTAAAATAGTAATTAACAATTTTTAAATATATATTAATATATTATTTTTATATTACAAAAAAAAACAATTTATATTGACTTTATTATTTAATTTTTTTATTTATGAATAAAAAATTATAAATTTATTTATTTTTTCCTTCATATTAAAAAAATTAAGCTATTTTTCAAAAAAATAAAATTAAAAAAAATAGGCATTTGAAGAAAACAGGAAAACCAAAACTCAAAATAATAAAAAATTGGTGCAAACAAATTCTAAATGCATTAAATTATACATTCCAAAATTAATAATATTTTACTTTCTATTTAACAGAATTAAATTGTTAAAACATATTAATTAATACAGCCACAAATTAATTAAGATTAAACGTATTTCCTTTAAAAAGTAAATTTTTTGATGAATTAATAATTGGAAATCAAAATAATATTTTATTCGATAATATTTATTATTTTGGTTTGTGTTTATTAGAAATAATTACCTTTTAGAAATCTTTGAATGAATTAAATTAAAAGCAAATTATGGATTAATAAGTAAAATTAACTAAATAAAAAAATTAAAAAATTTAAATTATTTTAGATACCTCAAGAATTCCTATTACTATAAATTAATTATATTCAAAACGAGTAATTAAAAAATATTATATAAAGTTGTGTAACAAAATCATAGTCAAAATTTACTATTTAATAACTATTTGAAAATATTTCGTTTTTAAACTTATAAAATTAATATGAAGATGATTTTCCAGTATTACTCAATGGCGAAAATAACGAAAACTAAACAAAAATAATTAGTAACTTTTCAGGGTCTGTAACTTAAAAGAAAGTTAAAAGTAATAATAAATATGATATCTAATAGATACTCAACGATTTTGAATATGAAGAAAATTAATCATAAAATAATATTTTAGATAAAAAAAGTTAAAATTGTTAAGATTATAAAAATGAAAAATAAATCGATTAAAAAAATGAAATTCAATCAGAAAATTCAAACTAATAAGATAACTAAAGTAAGTTCTCTTTATTTTACGAAGAAATTTAAAATATTAAAAATATAAAATTTATTCATTAATAATAGAGCAAAAGTAAAATTAAATTTAAAATAGATTAAAAAATTTATTTTTTTAAAAAAGACTATGTTTATTCAATTAATTTAGAATAATATATTTATGATTGTGTAGTTAATTAAGATAAAATTTAATTTCTAGTTTTATTTAAAAAAAAGCTTTAATAAATAAGTATTTTAAATGATTCTTTAATATTTAATTACTTAGGAAACTTAGCATTTAAAAAAAGTAAATAAGAATAATATTTTTATAATGATTTATGTATTAAAATAATATTATTTTAAGTATAATAATATAGATTAATGAAAAAATAAAAATAAGAAAATTAATAATAAACATTTTTGAATCAAAAAAATCATAGACAGCAATAAAATTATATTGCAAATTCAAATATGGTTAATTTAAAGTTAAATTTATAAAAAGTAAAAAATATATAATAATTAAGGAAAATTATTTTAATTATTTAAAGGGTAATATATGTACATAAGTAGATAATAATTAAGTAAAATAATTTTAAACCAAATAATAAATATAATAAACTCCGAAAATCATAAGTTCGATAATTAATAAAGAAAGCTTTTTAACAAAAAAGCGTATTCAAACAGATTCTTAGTAATAAAACAAAACAGAAATTATTTCTTAATTTATTTATTATTACAATTAATATTTAGTAAAAAATTTATTTTAAAATAATTATGTTAATTTTTTCTAAAAAAAAGATTTAGAATTTATAATATCTTTAAAATGAAAATGATCAAGAACTAGAAACAAGATAACAAAGAGAATTATTAGAACTATAAAGGCTTCATATAACACAAAAAAATAATCATATTTCATAAAAAATATAAAAGTTATGTTTTCAACAATAATTAATAACTAATTAATAAAATAAAAATTTATAAATTAATAATTTTATTTAATAAAATGAATTTAACTCATTGAAAAATGCATCTTAAATTTCAAATGATAAATTTTATGATGAAAATTAAAATATTTATTAACTTCACAGTACTGATATTAAAGAATATAAATAAACAGAATTCACAAATAATAAAAATTAATAAAATTATTTATATATAAATGAAGAGAATAATTAAATTTAAAACTTTACTACTCCTTTTTTGGTTAATGATTAAAGCTTTTAATAATAATAACAATACTAATAAAAAATAACTCTTAATAATAACTAGTTTAGTAAAATTAAAATTGATAATAATTTTAATACATAATAATAAATATATTAAGAAAAAATACAATAAGAAAATTAAAATTAATAATGTAGTTTAACTAATATTTAAATAAAAAAATATTTGAAAATAAATCAATTTAAAAATCTTTAGAAATCATAAAAAAAAAATAAAAAGAGTTTTTCTACTTTATAATAAATAAATAATGATTTGCTAAAAAATTAAATATAAAATTGCAATTATCAATAAAAATAATAAAATTTTAAACCAATTAATTAATCATCTAATAATATTTTACATTTAAGTTAACAAAATTATAATACTTAATACCAAAAAATAATGTTATTAATTATATTAAAATAGAAAATAACTAAAAAACCAAATTTATTATTGATTAATAAATTATAAAAAATTAATTTGATGTTTGTCAATTATATTAATAAAATTAATAACTTATTTAATAATAAAATTTTCAATGTATTTAATAATAAAACTGTTAATGTATTTAATAATAAAACTTTTAATGTATTTAATAATAAAATTTATCAGAACAAAAAATTTTTGGACCAATTTAATTAGATAAAAAAAGTTAAAAAAATTTATATGATAATAATAACTTTAATTTTTATTAAAACTAAGATCAAACATATCAATAAAACAAATATTTATTAAATAATAATTTATAAGAAGAATAAAAATATAATGATAATTTATGTAAAAATTAAAACTTGAAATAAAAAAATGAAAATTTAGATAATAAAGATAATTAAATTTATGATTATATTGAAAAATTAATATAGGTATAAATAAATTAAATTTTGTAATATAATTTTTTAAAATTTATAGAATCAAAAGGCATTAATCAATTAATAAGACTTATAGACATTAAATAATTACATATATATCTTACAAACTGATATAGCGAAAGAATATAACAATAATAAATTAAGAGAGGAGCTAATATGTAAATAAAAAAAAAAAAAAAAAAATTTTTGTTTTTTTATAAAAGAAATAATAAGATAAAGAATTAATTTTCTTAACACAGAATAAATATAATAAAATAGTTGTGATAATTTAAAATAATTAAAAAAATATTAAATGGAATATTAAAATTAAAAAAATAATAATAATTAGAATAAAATTGAAAAAAGGATAAATTAAATATTTTGATATTAATAAAAAAACTAAAAATAATAACTCATTATAGATAGCTAAAAATATAATAAAATTATTTATTTTAATTAAATTATTTAAAAGTGTTGATTTAAATAAACAAATTTGTATTAATTTATTTATATATTTTTTTAAATGTTAATATAATAATAAAAATATTTTAATATTAATATAAAATTTATAAAATAATTATATAAAAATATAAAAATATATATATAGATATATATATATATATTTATATATTTTTTTATATTTATATTAAATATTATTATTATTTTTTTTAATTATTATTTTCATTGTTTATTCATATGATATATATTTTTTTAAATTTTAATAATTTTATTTTATATTTAAAAACATTATATTTTTTTGCTATTATTTTAAAATAATATATAAATAGAAAATAAATTAATTAAAAAAAAAATCATTTGTTCATATTGTTTTTTATTGCTAATTTATGTAAATTACTTTAATTAACTTATTTTTATTAGTTTTTCGGGTTATCATTATTACTTCCTTAATTTTTCTACATATTTTAATCTATACTATCGTTTTTCATTCTATTTGAGAATTTCGAAGTTTAAGCAACATGTTATTCATTTCCTTTATTTAAATTTGGATTACTATAAGTGCTTAAGCTTCCAACAGTATCCGTCATTCCATTCATTGCTGGAACTCCATTAGAATGCAAAGCTAAAGATCCTATATGTTCTTAAGAATCAACATCATTCTTTTTATTTATTTTAAGAAATAAGAAATTTATTTAAAAAATTTATAATAACCTTATTCTTATTTCTAACTATTGCTAAATAATCAACGTTATAGTTTCCTAAATTCTATTAAGCGTTTAATAATCCTTAAGTATTTTTTTATAAATTATCTGAAATAAAAGGATGTTCTAAGCATTAACTTGCTGAAGGTCTATTGATAGGAGAAGCTTCAAGCATTTAAATTAAAAGGTCTTTCGCATTAACAGAAACATTTTCTAATTCAGGAATATCAAATTAAACTTCGCATGCTTTATTTGCTCTTAGTATTTATTTATAATCTTTTCCTTCAAAAGGTTATTTTCCTGTCAAAAGTAAATAAAAAATGACTCCAGCAGAAAATATATCACATTTTACATCATAAAAAGTATCCCCTTCCTTATATAATAAAATAATATAAATTTTATTGTATTTAAAAAATAAACATTAAAGCTTAAAATTTCAGGTGCTACAAAACCTGGTGTACCACATCTTTTGAATAAAATATTTTTAGTGTTCGTAAAAGTAGCTAATCCTAAATCTGCAACTACTAAATCGTAATCATTATCTTTAGATTTTAAAAGTAAATTTTCAGGTTTTAAATCTCTATGCATTATATTTTTGTAATGCAAATACTATAGACCAAGAAGAAGATTTCTCATTAAAATTTTTAAATCCAATTCACTCATTGTTTTGTCACGAACTTTATTTAGTAATTCTCCACCATTTAATATATCCAAAACAAAATATATAGAATTAGTAGTTTCATATACTTCATATAAATTTATTATATGTTAACATCTTAAATTACGCATAATGACTTTTTAATAATAATATGTATAAAAAAAATATATAAATGAATATAAGTTTTTTAACATCTCCTTACTTTGATAAAATTAATATTAATAACAAAAAAAAAGTATTTTTTTTTTATTATATTATATAATTATATATTTATAATTGAAACAAAAAAACAAAAAATTAAGAAGAACATAAAAAACTTACATATTTAAAAAATATATATAAATATATTTAAATATTATATATATATAAAATTTATATATTTATATAAATATATATTAATATTTTTTATATATATAGATATTTATATATTTATTTTTATATATTTTATAAATTTAATATGTTTTTATATTTTTTTTTATTTTCATTTTCTGTTATTTTTATTTTAATTAATATAATAAAAAATAAGGTTTATTTTTTCAGCCTTTTTTTTATTTATAGTATTATAATAATTTTTATTTAATAATATATATATAGTTCTATATAGCTTATATACCTATTTCATTTATTAGTGATTCTTTTCCTTTATGTTAACTTGCCATGAATTCTTTATTAAAAGCTTTAATTGCATATTATTATCCTGTTTATTTTTTTGTCGATAAATAAACTTTTGCAAATGAACCTTTTCCAATCATTTTAGTAACTACGAAATCTTCATGAAAAGATTATTAAATTGATTTATATATTAATATATTATTCCATTTTTTCCAAATATTTATATCTTATATATATATTTCTAACACTTTTCCATTTCTGCTTATTCTAAAACCATTAATATTTTAATTTGATGATTAGTTAATTTATTTTGGATCTATATTATTTAAAACATCTAATTTACAACAATTTAATTCTAATACTCCTTGTATTCTATCCATTTTTTCGTTTTTCGTAAAATAAAGATTTTCCTTATCTAATATAAATTATCTTTTTTTAGCTCTATTTCCCTTTTTAGAAGTTTTCAAAAATATATTTTGTAAAAGAATTTCTATTTAAAAAATTTTTTCTTTTTATTTTTAAGGTTTTGACCATATTTTCTTTTATTTTATATATTCATCATCAAAAAATGATACTGGTTTAGTACTTTTTTTAGTATATATTTATAGTTTTAGTTTATTTATTTTTTTATTTATTTTTACGTAATATATGAAATTTTGTTATCAATCTTTTATTTAGTATTAACTTTATTTCCCATTATTATATATATATTTTTTTTTTAAATAAAAGTATTTTTGTTTTTTTATTATATTTTTTTTTTATTTAATTGATTCATTCGTATCGAAATTTTTTTAGTAAATAAAATTATATCTTATTCAAAATATAAAATTTTAGTTTAGTTAATTTAAATAAATAATTATAATTTTGTATATTTTTTGTTTATTATGCGTTTAGTGTAATTTATACAAATTTAATAAATATTAACATTTTTATTTAAAATATTCAACAAAAATATAATTTATATTTAATTAAATAAAAAATAGCTATATATCTAATTTATAGAAATATAATATAATTATCTAATAAAGTAAAAAAAATTGATAATTTATTTTAATTTTTTTGTAAAAGGCATAACATTATTTATTACTTTTTTATTTATACTGACTTCTTTCTTAAATAAATACATATTAAATAATAGAATATTTTTAATATCATTTTTTTACATAAATTTTTTATTAAGATCAATTTAACATAAAACATTTGTTTTAAATTATATTATATTATTAATATTAAAAAAATTATATATGAATTATATATGAAATTAAAATCTATTTAATTTAATCTAAAAATTAAACAATATAAAATTTAAAAGTATTAAATATCTTATAAAAAATGTTTACTAAATTATCATAATTTTCAAAAATAAGCCAATTTGTAAAAATATAAAAATTGTTTTCAACCCAAAAAAGACCCAATATAAACGAAATTCCAATGCTTTAGGATTTTTTAAAAAAACAAAGTAAAAAAAAAACTATAAAATATAAAATATAAATATATAAAAAAAATATAATATAAAGATAATCCTATAAATATTTAGCAAGATAAAGTGCCATATTTAACATAATTAAATTTAAATTAAAATAAAAAATATTTTATTGAAACATATGGATGTTAAATGAATTAATCAGATACAGAAATTATAAACGGAATTTTATAAAATTCAGGGTATTAAAGTACAAAAGTATATGAAGAAGCTGATATAGTATTTTTAAATACATGTGCAATTAGAGAAGGAGCTGAAAGTAAAATATGGAGAAGACTTGAACAAATACGCGCAGAGAAAAAAAAGGAAAAAAAGTCTTTAATCACAGGAGTATTGGGATGTATGGCAGAAAGATTAAAATATAAATTGGTTGAAAAAAATAAAGTAGTTGATATTATAGCTGGTCCTGACGCATATAAAGATTTACCAAGATTAATAGAAAGTTTAATAGTTTTTTATTTTTTTATAAAAAAAATTAAAAATTAAAATCATAAAAAATAATAAATAATAATAAATAGCCAAACTCAAATAATTTTTCAATAAATGTGTAATTAAGTTTAGATGAGACCTATGCAGATGTAACTCCAATAAGATAAAATCCAGAAGGTCCTGAAGCATATGTATCCATAATGAAAGGATGTAATAATATGTGTTCATTTTGCATAGTGCCATTCACGCGAGGAAGAGAAAGGTCTAGAAGTATAGAAAGCATTATAAAAGAAGTAGAAATATTAAGAAATGAAGGAGTAAAGCAAATTACTTTATTAGGTTAGAATGTCAATAGTTATCATGACAAAGAATCTGAAGAATATGAAGAACCTCATTTAAATCCTTAAGGTTTTAAAGAAACATATAAATTGAGATAAGTAAATAACTTTAATAAAAATAATAGAACATATAAAAAAAGGGAAAAGGTGCCAGATTCTAAAACTTACTTGAAGAAGTTGCCAAAGTAGCTCCTGAAACCAGATTTAGATTTACATCTCCACATCCCAAAGACTTTCCAGATCCAGTATTAGATGTAGTAGCCAAATATCCTAATATTGCAAAAAATATACATTTGCCAGCTTAATGCGGGAATTCAGAAGTTTTAAATAGAATGAGAAGAAACTATACAAAAGAGTCTTATTTATAATTAGTTGAACAAATTAAAAATAGAATTCCTGGAGTTACTCTTTCTAGCGATTTTATAGTTGGATTTTGTGGAGAAACTGAAGAATAATTCCTGGATACTTTAGATTTAATAAATTAAGTTAAATTTGAAAATGCTTATTTGTTTGCTTACAGTATGAGGGAAAAAACTCATGCTCATAGATAATTTTAAGGTTATATTTTACTTTATTTATTTAAATACTTATATATAAAAAATATGAAAAAAAGATGACGTTCCAGAAAATGTAAAAAATGAAAGACTTCAAAGATTGATTAATGAATTTAGAAAAAATCAATAAGAAGTTATAAAAAACGAAATAAATAGGTATTTTTAAAATTGAAAAGAAATATAAATAAAAAAAAAGATATCATTTAGTACTTATTGATGGTAAAGGAAGACTCTAAAATCAATTAATTGGAAGAACTGATACTAATAGAAGAGCAATTTTAAACTTTCAAAAAGCTTTTAAATATAAATAAGATTTAAATACAGTTTAAAATTTATTTTAAATTCCTTGTTGCGAATCTGATTAATAAATTATAAATTCTGAATTATTAGAAGATATTAAAATTGGAGATTTTATTATTGTCAAAATTAATGAAGTTTCTCCTAAATCTTTATTCTGTAAACCTATTATTAAAAGTACTATTACTCAGTTTGCTCAAATTTCTAATAATAGACCTTTTATTGAAAAATTGGAATGAAAACAAATATAGATCTTTATTCATTAATTTATGTTCTTTGTTTTTTTCACAAAAAAAAAATAATTATATATTTTAATTTTTTTTTATAAAAAAATAAAGAATATATATTATTTATTTATCAATCATTTTTTTATTGTTGATCTATTATTTTAACCTGGCATAGTCTTTTATATTTATAATAACAAAGAAGGATTTTTAACTCTAACAACTTCATTTATATCTTAAAGCCTTCCTTCCATTAAAGCTAATTTAGATTTTAAACTCATGTATCTAAACGTAATAATTTATCTAATTAAATCGTCATTACTTGCTTAAAATTCAAAGGCTATAACTTCAATATTCTTATATTCAGTACTTTAAACTATTTCAAGTCTTCCCATTCCTTCATTCATTATTGTAAAAATAGCAGAATATTAGTTTTAGTCTTTTTCAACTTTATTAAAGCATTTTATACATATAGAAGGATATTCATTAAATTAAATGTTTAATTATTATGTTTATTTTATTGTTTTAAAATTATTTTCATTAGCTCTATTTACATTTGAACAAAAAATATTAATTAAAATATATATGCATTTTTTTATTATTTTTACAAATGTGTAAAATGGAAAAATATATCATTATCACTACTCAATTCCAATTTTAATTATTATAAATTTTTTTCATCTCCCTGTTTTTTTTTTAAAAAAAAATATTTTTTTTTTTTCAAATGAAATATTTTTATTTAATAAAAATATTTTTTTTAATTTTCATTTCTGTTTTAAGATAAAATTTATTTGATACCAATATAAAAACTCTAGTCCTTAATGGTTCTAAATTGGGTAAATCTTCTGTTTCAACATCTTACTTTTAAAATCTTATATGAAAAGGAATTTCTCTATCATAAACTACTCTATGCCCATCAGCTTTTATTATTATTATTTTAATTTTTTATGCAAATTTTTATAATATTTTTAATTTATTTTTATTATTACCTAAAGATGGATCCATTTCATCTATAGTTGCAAAATCAAAAGAATTAAGCATTTATTAAATGTTATTTGATTCATTCATTAAACTTTTTTAAGTAGCCATTTTTTAATTTTTTTATTTATAATTTTTTTAATTTAATTTATTTATTTTAATTTAAAAACAAAAAAAATTAAAATTTTTGAATATATAATTTATTTTGATTTTTTAAATAAATTTTTATATGTATTTAAATATTTATACTATAATATTATTCAACAATTAAATAAGTATTTTTTTGATTATATTTTTATTTCTTACATAAATTAAATAATTTTATATTTTTTTATAATTTAAAATTGTAAAAAAGCTTAATAAGATAATAAAAATTTATAAACTTTTAAAAATTTAGCTTTTAAAGAAGAGTTTTATTGTATTCCAAAAAAAGTATATTATTAATTAATAATTAACTAAAAAAAAAAGAGCAAAATAAATAAAACAAAATATGATTTACATCCCAAAAAAAAAAAACTACTCATTTCTATTTTTTAAAATTTTCAAATTACCAATTTGCATTTTAATCAAGATCTTCCAAAACAATACCATCACCATATCCAATATATCCTAAGTTTGTAAAAGATCTATCTATTAATTTATAATCAAACTTATATTCAGATTATCCATAAAATTAATCATCATCATCTTCCTATAATACACTAGTATTTTTTGAGGAATCGGCATCATATATTTCAGAATCTTCAGCTTCGTTAGAACTTAATTATACTTCGTCATAGCTTAGTAATTATTTTTTAGCCATATATCTTTAAAACTCTGATTCAGTATATTTAAACAGATAATTAGTATTTGCTTTTAACCAATCACAATGTAATAATACTTAACGTGCAGAAGCTCTTTTTAATGGTTCAGCTTTTAACATACTCACTAAGAATTAAGTTAACAAATAAACTTCATCTTACTTTATTTGATATCTTTTTAAATTAAAAATATATATTATTTTATTTTTAAAAATACTTTTCTATTAAAACATTTTTTAAAGGCCAATAATGCAAAACAGGTATTTTTCTCAAATTTCCATTTTAGTCAAAAATTTTTTTAGCTTTTTATATTGCTAATGAAAATTTTAAAGGGAATTTTTTTAATAACTCTTCAATCTATGATTTATTTATAACATTAAAAATTATTTTTTGAAATTTCAAATATAAATAAATAAATTTACTTATGCTAAATGATCTTCATTTTTACTATAATCTGTATTCCTTCTTGGTTAAAACAAGAAATCTCCAGTAATCATTTCAAACATCATACAAGCAAAAGACCAAATATCAGCTGAAGTATCATAATGCATTCCAATAATTGACTTTTTATATATTTTAATTTTTATTTAAAAATAAAACTTAATAATTTACTTCTGGACTTCTATATTATCTTGTTTATATTTTTGTCGCAAAATGATGATAAGTCCAACAAGCGTTTCCTAAATCAGCAATTTTTACCTTTATGTTTTCATCTATTCTTTCTCCTCTTCCACAATAACTTTATATTTATAAAAAATTAAATATATATATTTTATATACTTATCAAATTTATATTTTATTTCATCAGGTATTTTTTCTTCAGGTTCTTTATTTTCTTCTTTTTATTGTTAATCTTTGTTAGTTTTAATTTCTTAACTGGGTTAAATTCCGTTCGCTTTTTATTATTCTTCTTTTAATTTTTGTTTTTTTCTTTTCAAAGCTGCTTTTTTTCTTTAATATTTTTTTTGCTATTTAGTCAAGTTTTATTAATCATTTTTCTTTTTTTCTTCTTCTTAATTTTAAGCATTACTTTTTTCATCTTCGTCATTTTGGCTTTATTCATCTTACTTTATTTCTTCTTCTTCCCTTTCATCATTATTTTATTCTTCAATATATATATTATGCTATATTTAATATTTTTTAATTCTTTCCTTTATTTTTTAATTAATATTTAGTTATCCTTTTTCAACAATTTATTTCTATTATTAATATTTATATTATTTATAATATGTTAAAACTTTTAATCTTTTTTTACTATTTCTTCTTATGTCAAACAAACTAAAACATTCTCAGGTTTCAAATCAGTATGAATAACTTAACAGAATCTATGCAAAAAATCTAATCCTATAAGAATTTATTTGGCAATTATCCTAGCCAAATGCATCGGAATACCTTTGTAATTATATCTTTTGATAATTTCTAATAAATTGACACTCATAATTTCAAAAACCATACAGAAATGATTTCCATAAGGTCCTTAATAAATAAAAGAATTTAATAATTAAACAATTTAGCAATCATCCCTTGTGAAATTTTTCTTTTTTTTATCCTAATATTTTTTTATTTTTATAAAAAAAAAAAAAAAATTGATATAAATTTACATCTTTATAATATTCCTTTAAACATTTTATCCATTCAGGATTACTTGCTTATTTTGCTACCTTTTATAATATTTCAACTTCATCGTATGCTGCTTCTAAATAATGTGGAGCACTCTTTTATATTTTTAATGCTACATACGTATTATATTTAAAATCTTTCGATAACCATACTGTCGAAAAATGACCCCAACCTAGCTTTTATATAATAACGTATCTTTTATTAATTACTTCTCCAATATGGACTGGATGATAACTATTTTATTTTATTTTTTAATTAAATATTAACTTATTAATTTTGTTTAATAAATAATTTTTTTTAAGGGTAAGATTTTTTTTTAAATTCTAATTTTTAATTTTTTTTTTTTATACCCTCCAGTATTATAATCTTCTATTCCTTCATCCTCACTATCATTTTCCTCTTCTTCTTCTTAAACTTCTTGCCCTTCTTCGTTTGTAAATTCAATAGGTTTAAATAATTCTTTGTCTAATGGCATATTTTATTGATTATCCATTATTTAATATTTTTTTTTATTATTTTTTTTTATTTTTTTTATTTATATTATTTTTAAAGATTTTACTCTTAATTTAAATAGATTATTATTTTTTTGCTTTTTATTAAAAAATATAATTCAAACAATAAAATAAAATAAAGCGAAAAGAATGATAAAAAATTAATAAATATTAAGTAAATTAGAAAAATACGATTATTGATTTAATATAATTTTAACTATAAAAAAAGCATATATGAAAAAATAAATTATTTTTTAAAAAAGAAAAATATGTAATAAATTAATTTATTACTTTTCAATAAATTCATTAGTTGAATATCTTTAAAAAAAAATCTAATAAATTTTAATTTTTACTTTTGATTAAAATATATTAAATAAGTTTATAGTATAATAAAGAAGAATAATAAAGGTAAAATATGATATAATAAATTTCAATTTCAATTTTTTTTGTAAATAAATAATAATTTCTAATTTTAGTAAAATTGCAAAAACTTATTTAAACAAAATTAAAATAAATTTACCATAAAAAAAAGTAAAATTAATTTTCTAGAAATTTAAAAAATAAAATTATAAAGTAATAAATTAATAAACTTAAAAAAATATAAAAATAAGTTTAAATAAAATATGCTATGAATTTATTTTTAATAACTATATACAAAATATTTAATTTAATTAATTTCAAATTTACTTAAAAATATGTTTACCTGATTTAGATAACTCAGATATGTTATAATTACTTTTAATTGTTAATTCAGAAATAATATCATCATAATTATTTATTTTATTTATAAAATTTTATCTTTTATAACTTTATTTTTATTATTATTTTATTTAATCTTTATGAATTCCGATATTTTCATTATCTAATATATAAAATATTAAAATAAAAATCATAATAATAAAAATATAAAATACAATAAGCAGATTAAACAAAATCTAATTTATTATAAAATTAATTTATATTTTTTCCGTCATTTATTAGTGAATCAAACTCTAAAGCATAAACATTTTAGCCTTTTACCTAAAAATAAATAAGTAATTTAAAAAAAAATTATAAAAGTTTAATTATTTTTTGCAAAAATACGACTAAATCATCTAATTATTGTGAATTTTATAAAACATTAAAATTATTATTTTTTTATTTATTAATTTAAATATTGTCATTTAGATCTTTTTAAACACCAGATTTTTCTTAAAGGCTTTTAATTTTTTAATTTTTCAATAATTATTTTTCTCCAATACTTTTACGAATTATTTCTACTGGTTTATTAAAATTAGGAATAGTAATAGTCGTAAAATTACTAAAAATATCAGTTTATAATAAATAATTTTTTTAAAAATTACTAGAAATTTTATTTGAAATTTCTTTTTAAGAAACACTACAAAATTTCCTAATATTAGACTTATCTATAAATATGTTTTCGTCATTTTAAATATTTTTAAAATGTAAAGATTTATATTTAGTTTTATCATTTTTATTAATGTCTCCTTTTTTTAATGTCATATACCATAATCTTTACCCTAATTTATCTACTGGATTAAGCATGTTATCATAAGTAAGTAAAGCTTCTTTTTTTTCACGAAAGCGATCTTATATAAACATTAAATTTTAATCTATTTTTCTATCACATTTATGCGAAATTTAATTAATTTTTTATCCCCAATAATTAACTATTTCATCGTATTTTTAAATTACTTTATTCTCTCTTTTTAAAATATTTTTTTCTTATATTGAAAGTTTTTCAATTTATTTTTCTTGTTATTATTTGTTTTTTTCTATCCTTTCTTTAGTTAATTCCATATGAATTAGAAGTTAGTTTTTGCTAAGCTAATTAAATTCGGAAATATTTACACTTTTTTTACAGGCTTAATTTGTTAATTATTTTGTTCCGTAAAATAAATTTGAAGTGTGTTATACTGTCGAATTTCTTTAATTTGAATTAACTTTTATTTTGTTAAAAATAAATAAAAAAACAATATATTAGTTAATAACACTTTTTGTAGAAGTTTCTTTAAGATCTTATAAATTTTCATGTCCTTGCTCTTCACTAAATCTTGAAATATTTATTTATTTTCTCTTGGTTTTTCTTGAAAATTACTGCATTAATTTATAATTTTATTGGTTTTTATCAACTATTTCATAATTTTTTAGAAATTATTTAGGCGAACCTACTATCTAATATGGAACGATTTATCCATTAACAAAACGTGGTCCTTAATTATATTAAGTGTTTTTATTTTACAAAATATTAAAATTATATTTTATATTAAAAATATTTTTTAATTATTCATCTAGTTTTTCATTTGGATTATTTTCTATATTACAAGAATTTGATTTGTAGTTTTATTTTTTTTACTTATCTTATTATTATGGATTTATTTCAGAGAATTTTTTATTAAAATATACTTATATTTTTTAAATCTTAAGTATTTTAGTTTGTATTTAATTCATTTTTTAATTATTTTTTTTATTAATTTTTAAAATATTATTGAAATCATCTATTGAATTTAAAAATGGAAGTATTCCAACTTAGCTATTTATTGAAGATTTTATTTTCATTTTTTTATTATATTTTAATTATTAAATTATATTCAAATTTTTATAGAAGATAAAATAAATATTTTAATAATGTATTTATTTATTTAATGAAAAAAAAAAATTATTATATTTATTATATTTTATTAAATTATTTTTAAAAAATAAAATAAAAATCATTATATTTTTATTAATTAAATATTTATATTTGATAAATTTTAATTTATTTAGTTTTTTTTTATAATTTTAATTAATTTTATATTTTTTTTTTTCATAAGTTTAAAAATATTTAAGAAATTTTATATTATTTAAATAATTTCATTTTATTTTAATTTATTTATAATTTTATAATATAAAATTAATTTATTATTCATTATATATATATGACTTTAAATAAATAAAAGTTATGAAGAATATTTTAAATATATAAATATATATAATTATTTTTTATTTTATTTTAAATAAAATTTTTATAATTTTATAAATAAATATTTTTAAATAGATGATAATATATAATAAATACAGAAAATATATAATACATAATTATTATTTAAAAATAATTATTTTTAATAATCGCTTAAATTAAAATAATTAAATAAATATATATTCAAAAAAATAAAAAAGAAATATATCTATCATATATATATTACCTTTAATTTTACTATTATATATATATATTCCATTATTTTTTTTATAGTTAATTAATAAAATTTTAACAAAATTCTTGAATTTTAATCAAAAATTTATTTAAAGATTTCAATAATTAAGTTTAAAACAAAAAATATTTTAATTTTATTTTAATAAAAATATAATGTTACTAAAAATTTATTATTCTTTAATAGTCATAATAAAGTATTAATATATTTTATAATTTGAAATAAATTAAATTAGGCACATAAAAGTTTAATTTTAATTTTAATTCTCCTAAACACTATGTTGTTTTTAAAAACTTCTTATAACTATTTTTATGACATTTTGGGGAATAAAATTTCCATAAGTAAATAGTTAAGATATTTTATCTAACCATTAAAATACATTAATTAAAATTAAATCTGAAAATACTATTATTCTGATTGTATAATAGACTAAATTTAATTATTTTTTATTAGTAAATTTTAAAATTTATAAGTAGGAGGTAAAAAATTAGTTATATTAACTTTATTTAATTTTCAGAGAAAAACAAAAAAATTAATGTATATGTTAATAATTAATTATATCAATAATAATCAAATATATTTTTAAGTTTAATTATATTAAACAATAAATTAAAATAATATTTCATTATTACTAATTTACTTATAATAATAATTTTATATACTTTAAAATTTGTAAATACTAAAAATATTTATGTTTTTTCAATTAATTATGGTTTTTATTAAAAAAAATTATATTTTTGATCTTTTAATTATTTTCTTTTTATTTTTAATTTTTATTGTATCAATGCTATTTTTAAATAAAAAATTAAAAAATAATAAATATGAAATTTAAAAAAAACTGATAATATATAAACAATTAAAAGAAAAGAAAAGAAAAAAAAATATGAAATCTTAAAAAGAAAAAACATTTATTTATAAAGGACATATCATTTATTAATTTTTTTTTTTCTTAACCAAAATTTCCTTCAGGTCTTTTCTCATTAATTATATCTGCCTTTTTAGCAATATTATAGGTACCAATAACTATTTTTTAATAAAAAAAATTAGAAATCAAAAAAAAAAAAAAATTACTATCATTTAATGTGCTTGTATCAGAAAGAAGTCCTTTAGGAATTTTGTTATCAGGACATTAACCTTTAAGTTTAACAATAGTTTCTGACTCTTATCTTAATATTTTTTACATTTTCATCATTTTCGAAACAAATTTAATTTTATTTCTTAAAACATCAGCTTCTTTATTTCAAAAAATTAAAAAAAATAAAAGTAAAAAAATACTTTTAACTCCATCATTATCCGTATTAACAGCTTCGGTTTATTATTTATTAAGCTTTTGATAATTTTCCAATTGTTTAATCTCATTTACATCTAAATCATCATCCGAATTAGCAGAGTCATCTTATTTTATGATAACATATAGCATTTCAGTAATTTTTTCAGCTACAAAAGGAATACTCCAAGTAAAAATATCCATAAAATTCGGCAATAGATATGGATGTTATGTATAATTAAATTATTATATATTCAAAGTATTATTTTCAAATTTTATTACTGCTCCCTTATTATTATACACGTCACAATAATTTGGAGCTGAAAATATAGTTATTACAACAGGAAAATCATTTCCTCCATTCCATCTATGCATTTTATATCCATCTAATTATGCTTCATGTGCTCTTATAACAGATATTAAATTATTATTTTCTAAAAATCTACGAACCGCATCGTTACCATAAAAATAGCTGCATCCTCTAACATCATTTGATCTGTATACATTTTCACATATACCATCATCATTATCTACTGGATCACTCCATAATATATCACAAAATAAACCTTATCTGGGTGGTTCTTTAAATCTATCAATTTTTTTTATATCTTCAATCTATTTTTTATTTATTTTATTTTATTTTTTATTTTATTTTTACTGTTCTCAATTCAGGAGATATTCCTCCATGTAAAGCTAAAAACTTACCATTAACTATACATGATAAAGGCATTAAATCAAAAGAGTCCATCAATAAATCATATATTTCTTAATCATATTTATATTTACCTTTTTAAAAAAAAAATTAATATAAATAATTTTTAAATTTACATTCATCTCTAAAATTAAAAAAGGAAGTCATTTATCTACATTCATGATTTCCCCTTAAAAAATAAATTGTCTCAGGGAAATTTATCTTTTATTTTTTAAAAATGTATATTTATAACAAAAATATAAAGGATTATTATTTAAATATAAAAAATAAGAAAATCATAAAATACAACAATATTTAGTTAATTATTTATTTATGCTTATATTAATATTTATATGTTTTTTAGTTTTGGTTTAAAAAATTATTTTAATAGTATTAATATTTTTTTTAAAATTTAAATATAAATGTATTTATATATATAATTTTAAATTTTTATTAAATATTTAATATTAATTACTTTTATTGCGTATAATAAAATTAGAACTTCAATTGAAAAAGAACCACGATCTACAAAATCGCCTAAAAATAAATATTTTGTATTATCTAAACTTCCACCTATTTCTAAAATTTTTAATAAATCATAATATTATCCATGAATATCTCCAATAACAGTTACAGGATCTTAAACACTTAAAAGATTGCCTTCTGACCCTAAAAATTAAAAATATTATTTATTATAAAATAATAATATTCTATTTATGTACTCATTATTTTATTGCATTAAGCTACAAGTTTTAATAAATCTTCTTTTTCAATTCTACCTTCTTTTGTTAAATGATCTCTTATTACTTTCCAATCAGGTTTAGCTATAATTTTTAATTTTATATTGATTTATTTTTAAAAATAGGATGATTTTTTTTAAATAAGGAATTAATATAAATATGTGTTTAAAAAAAGATGAATTCTTTTAATGATTTTATTTATTACTTATTCCATTTTTTGTTGGCCACATTAAATTTTATGATAAAGGTTTATGAGGCGGAGGCCTTACAGTTTTTACTGATCTATCATTAACTGGGTCACTTAATGGTTCCATTTATATATATTTATTTATTTTTATTTTTATTTAAGTAAATAATTAATTTAATTTAAAATAAAATATTATAAATATAAAATGAAAAATTAAATAGAATTTGATTATTTATTATTATGATTTTTATTGATATAAACAAAATTAAAAAAATAATTATTAAAGTTTTTTAAAAAATCTATTAAATTTATTTTAGGCTTTGAATAAATATTTTTATATATATATTTCAAAATTATTATTTTTATTTTTCTTTGCAATTTTAAATATAAAGAATTTGATAATAATATATATTATTTTCAAATAAATAATAATGCTTTTCAATATAAGTAAAAACATAGTATTTAATAAATATTTTTTAATTAGTAATTTTTTTGAAATTTTATTTTTTATTTTTTATATTTATAAAATAAAAATAAAAAATGTTTGATTTTTTCTCTTATTAAATTAACGAAATCTACACTAAAAGATTCAAATTATTCTATTTAGGTTTTAAAACTTTAGTTTATGTAATATTATTTTTAAATTAGTATATATAAAAAAGTTTAAATATTTATTTTCATTTAAAATATATAAACAAAGATTTAAATTATAGATTTTTAGATAAAAATATAATGTTAGAATTTTATTTAATTATTTTAATTAAAAAAATACTTTTTAAATAATTTTTTTTTTTTTATAATAAATAAATTATTATTTATAAACTCATCATCAAACAAAAATAAAAAATTTATATATATATTTTATATAATTTTAATAATTTAATATTTTATCTATTAATTTTTTTATAAAAATAAAATGAAATTCAATTATATATTAGTGCATAAATAATAGTTTCTAAAAACATTGTTTATTATATCTTAGCAAAAAATTATTAATCTTTATTTTTTTAAAAAATAAATATTAAAAACTTTAATTTTATAACATAACAAAAATTAAAAGATAAACAAAAATAAAAACATAAAAATTTTAAATTGAAAAAAATATGAATATTGATACAAATAAAGAAAACGAAATAAATAAATAATTTTAAAATAATATATAATAAGCATAAAAGAATAACTAATTATATTTTAAAGATCCAAAAGCATATTAATCATGGGAGCAAATAGAAAATGCTATCTAAACAATATACGAAAAAAAAACATCCTCTCTATATTATCAAGAATTATATCATCATGCTTATCTTTTGACTTTTAATGGATATGGTGAAACTACTTATTATTGCCTTAGAAATTGTTTGGAAATAGTAAGCCTTAAGATGTTAGAATCTATAGGAAACTATGATTATGATGATTTTGTTTTATAGAAAATAATAAATATATGGTCAGATTATAAAGTTTTAATTTAAGTGCTTTAAGGAATTTTCTTATACATGGATAGCAATTTTGTATAACCTAAAAAATTGTAACCAATCCAAGTCCTAGGTTATGACGTTTTCAAAAGATAATTTTTAATAACTAAATATAATATGTATAATAAAATCATGGAAATTGTTTTTTCTATCATTTAAAAAGAAAGAAACGGAGAATCAATTAATTCTTCATAAATAAAACATATAGTTTTAATATTGGTATTTTTTTAAAAAAATTATTATTCTTTTAAATTTATTAAAATTCATTTTTCTTTGAAATATATTTAAATTATATATATATATATATATATATATATATTATATATATTATAAAAAAATATTTTTAAATATGTAAGATTGAATTAGGCATATATGCCAACACTAAAAATAATAATCCTTATTATAGATTAGGTTAATTTGAATATTAAACCGATCTAAATATTTATAAGAAATATTTCGAAGAAAAATATTGTATATAATCTGAAAATTTTTATAGTTAACTAAGTTAAAGTTTGATAATGAAACTAAGCCCAAAAGAATATATATTAAATGCAGAAAAATTATACTCTGAAGAAAAAACTAGGATGTAATAATATTTAGATCTATCATCTTTCTAACAAGTATCAAAAATATTTTTCTCTAAATGTATAAACCCTTATGTTCGTTAAATATTAGAAAATAATTATGGCTTAAATTTTTGGATAGAAAACGAAGATGTAGAAGTTTTGAAGATTTGTCACTTTTTATTTAAATAATTAGATGAATCATATAACATATTTAAAAATTGCTTCTTTTAATATGTAGTTAAAAAAGGATCAGAAATGTGTGCAAGAAAAAATATCCATTTAACCATATATATTGAAGATCTATTTGTTTTTAGAGAAAAAATACACTATATATTACAAGAGTTTTATATAATATTAGATAGTTAAGAATAAACAAATTTCTAAAGGTATTAAAAAAAAAAAATTAATAAAAATATTTTTTTCTAAATAAAGATAATGCTAAAAATCATTTGAAGATTTTATAAATAGTGAACAAGTTTTTATTGAATATTTAAATAATTATATCGATGAATAATTTTCAAAAAACTTCAAAGGAAAAAGCGATTAATAAATAGAAGAGAATATAAATTAAATATTTGAGCTTTTTTGCTTTATAATAAATAAAGATGTATTTAAAATGTATTATTTGAAAAGCTTATCAAGTAGAATACTTTAACAGAAAAGTTTAGATGAAAACAATGAGAAAATTATAATAAATAAATTCAAAATAGAATGTGGAAGTTCTTTCACAAAAAAGATGGAAATTATGTTAAAAGATGTTTAATTATCTTAAAATTTTTTAGCAGAATATAAATAATAATTTAAAAAAATATAACCAAACCAGAATATAGATTTTCTTGATATTAAAATTTTGACATGTGGAATTTGGCCATTCTAAAATGTTTAATAAATCAAAATTCATCCAGAACTTGAACTTCATATTAATTACTTAGATTAAATTTACAAAACTAAATTTGCCGGAAGAAAACTTAAATGGATGTTTTCTGTTGGAAAATCTATTATTAAAAGCTTTTATGGCTGTATTAAAAAAGAGTTTATGGTATCTAATATATAATTAAATATTCTTTTATTATACAATTAACAAAATCATTATAATGAAATTTAAATTATGCAATAATTGAATATTAATTAAGAATAATTAAAGGTTTTTTTTCTATTTATATTTTTTTTATTATCTTTTATAAATAAAGACTCATTTAATTCCTTTGGTATAGCTAAAAATTCTTAACTTTGAAAATGAATTATATTCCTATAATCCTAATTTCACTTATAGAACAATAAAAGTAAACGTTCCTGTTTTAAAAAAAGAAGATGGAACACAAGAAGAAGGGAAAAAAAATATTGAACAAGTCCATTTAGAAAGAAAATATTTATTAGAAAGTGTTATTGTCAAAATTATGAAATCTAGAAGAAAATCTGATTTTTAAAATTTATGTTAAGAAGTAATTAAACTTTGTTAATAAAATTAATTTTTCCCAGATATTTAACTAGTCAAATAATGTTTGGAATCATTAATTAATAGAGATTATATTAAAAGAGGAGATAATAAAGATATTTTTTAATATATAGCTTGATAATTACACTCTGTTTATTTAATTACTAATAAATTTATATATTATTTTTAAAATTTAATTTTTTTAAAAATATATTTATTCAAAAATATAATATATATATAATTAAAATAATTAATTTCTTTATTTAAATTAATTTGTGATTATTTTAATTATATTTAAAAAATTACTAATCTTATGTATATATTTCTATTCCTAAAAAAATTAATCTCGAATGATATATATATTTTAATTATATTATATTTATAATTAAAAAAATATATTTTAAATATAATATATTGAAAATAAAATATAATATGTTAGAATAACTTTTAATGATTTTTCTGAAATTTTTTTTAAAGTCAATGTTATAAAAATATATATAATATATAATATATAATATATAATATATAATATATAATATATAATATATAATATTAATGTAATATATATAATAAATTTATATTTTATTTTATTTTTTTTTTTAAAAAAAAAATATTTAAAATTTTATAATATTTAACATAAATTTTATAAATTTATATATTATATTTTGATATATATTATTTTATATTTTATAAATAAACTATATTATCTGAAATTTAATATATATATTTTTTCATATATTTTTTATTTTTATTTTGAATATGTATATAAAAAATAATATTATATTATATATATTTTTAAATTTTAATTTTAAATAAAAAATATATTTTAATAAAAATGTCAATAAAAAAAATATAATTTATAAAATATAATATTTAAACAAAAAAATAAATTAAATATAAAATAAACAATATTTAATATTTAAAACAAAATAAAAAATAAAACATATATTAAAAATATGTAAAAATATTTATAAATTATTTTTTTAAAATTTTTATTTTTGATATTTATTTTATTAATATTATAATTATTAATATTTTTTAATAATATTATTATTATTATTATTATTATTATTATTATTATTATTATTTTTATTATTATTTATTTTATAATATTATTAAATATAATAGATTATATATATTATTATTTAAAATTCAAGTTTATATATATTATTTTTTATTTTAATAAATTAAAACTATAAAACTATTTAATTAATAATAATATAATTTTATTTTTATTAATAATAATCATATCATTTTATTTGCATTATTTATAAAAATAATTTATTTTGATATTTTAAATATTTATGAATTTATAATTAATTAATTATATCATTTAATTTTTTTTTAAATAAATTAGACAATAACATATTTTATGATTTTTTTATTAAACTTAAAAATTATTTATGACTTAAGTTAAAATTTTAATATTTTATTTAATCATTTTTTATAAACCTTATATTATATATATTTCAAATTATAAATTTTTAATTAACTATATAAAGCTTATTTTTGTGTATAAATTTTTATTTAGATGTTAGTCTAATTTTATAAGAAATGAAAAAAAATTATTAAAAATAAAATTATAATTATTATATTTATGTAATAAAAAAATTCATAGAAATGTATTTATTTTTAAAATATATAAAAAAATTATATATAAATATAAAAAACTTTTAAAATATTTAAAAGAATTAAAAAAAAATTTTATTTGTATTTATAATAAATAAAAATAAATAATATAATATAAATATATATATATATATATAAATAAATAAATTTATATATAAATATATATATATATATATATATATATATTCTATTTAATATTTTTTTCTGTATTTTTTAATACTAATACTCAACTAATAAAAAAAGCTAATATTTTTC